CCCCACGTTGCCCGCGAACCACCGGTGGGGAGGTCGAGGGTTGGATTTCGGTGGGAATGGGGGAGGGGGGCGATGTAAGGGTCGATATGGGAAGGTTGATTACGCGGCTTTGAGTGTTTGCTGGAACCGGCCCAGAGGGAGGAAATAAAGTGCGTGCAGTTAAACGACTGTTGACCATACCAGGCGCGGAGCTTGCAGGAGGTTCTTTTGTGCACACAAGACGGACAGCTTCCTCAACCTGATAACGATTGCTTCTGCTTTTGCTAGCAGACGCTGAACCAATGACCCAGGGGAGTTTGGTGGGACCTTATAAATCACCCGGAAGGCTTCGTTGGGGTCCACCTTTAACCCCATTCCCGTATAAATACAACGACCCGTTGAGGTAGTTTATCGAAATCTTGTGTATGCTCCTCGCCAACTGATCGTCTGAATCTCTTCTGATGAGATTTTTTTGCAAATTTAAAACAGTTCAAATAATATAAACTGTCTATATCATGTCGGGGGAATAATGAGGAGAATGGTCCAACGGCAACTGAAGCCGAGTCGTGCGTGTAGACCACGTTTAGGCCATAATGGTGACAGTAGTCCTGACCATGAAGTGTCCCGCCTCATCGCCCTACGGGAAACAAGGCAAGCGAGTTCTAGGGACAATAAATCTGTCCTCAGGCTGCGAGATTGTTTCAAAAACCTGCCCAAAGCCTTATTTATTTTGGAGTTACAAGCGCTCTAAAACATTCGAGTCCATGGCACGCCAGTCGTTGAGAGTGTTGTAGAACACTCCGGTCCATGGCATGCCGTTCGCTGATTGGGTATTTCTTCCGCGAGAATCCCCCTCCCCCTCGGGAATGAACCTAGGCCGCCCGGCCGGTCATTGATTGGACCTCACACGCGTGATCAAAGGCATCACGCCTGCTCGATGTCTTACACGCTGATTGGCTGCCTGACATAACGCGCGAATGTTTGTCCGGTTATTGATTGGATCGCACACGCCTGAGCAAAGGCATCACACGCGCTAGAGGAGGTACTGCCCGATTTAACACGGCTTAGACTGCTGTGTCGTAGGTGGTCAGGTCCGCCTTTCGTCCTAGGCCCTGAGTCCCCCCCCACACCGCCTCAGTTCCCCTCCATAACACATGAAACTTTCATCCTGTTGCAGCCACGCAACCTACGTGAACACTCAGTCATCTTCACGTTTCAATCCGGTGACAAAAATGCGTCGATTCTATTCCAAGATGACGGACCCCCGGTACAACAAGAAGGTCGATGTCTACGTGTACATGTTTATTTGCGAGTTTCTCTCCTTTTGGAT